TGGAGAGTAGCAGCTTAACTCAACGATTGATTCCACCAACTCGAGTCATTCTTCCTGAGTCAATTCAGAAATCCTGGTGATGACTATCTCAAGCTCTCTCACTCTCTCTCTCTCTCTCTCTCTCTCTCTATCTCGTGGAGAAAAACGAGAAATTTGATTAATACTCATTTGTTGATGTTGACACAAATATATGGATAAATCCTTGTCCAAAACTTTTATTTTATATCAATATATTATTGGTTTCCCTTAAAGTTCTTGGCAATGACAAGCAATTGTATCAAAAACATATGTATTGGATTTGATTCAGTCCATAATTTGTCGTATCAAAACAGAGAAGTTAGTATGGACAAAGTCTTTTTTTATTCTTTTTGTGAGGGTTTGATAACAAGGTCTGTGTCCACGTTTTATAGTATAATTTTAGTAACATGAGTCCATATTCATATATTGTGGTATATTTTTGTGTAATCAAAAGATAAAGTTTGTCTATAAAGCACATTAACATTCCCCATCCACACATTACTCATCAATCATCCACACATCACCCGTCCACATATACTCCGTCTATAAATAATTCATCCACACATCACCCGTCCATAATTGTCATTTCTATAAAGGACAAAATTGTCCAGAATTTGTCGCTGACCCACAACAAAGTGTGTCACATGTAAGAAATGTCTCTAAGTGTAAGTGAAAGTCGAAAAGTGTTCGTTAATGTAATCAACTCAAAATCAAAAACATCTTCTATCTGTCAAACCAAGACGTATTGGTTCACTCTTTTGTGTATGAAATAAATCTTTTAAAATCCTAGATGGGCGATTGTAAGAGAATTAGATACTTTCTAATATTTTTACTTATTAAGTCATTTTAATTTATGAATTTGATTATTTATATGATATATATGTGTATATATATATTTAACAGTGGAATTTGTTGAAGCCAAATACTAATACACATATTAGTATACATAAATTATTATATTACAATACACATATATTACATTATATATATTTAATTTCAAATATTAAATAAAATAAACTATTGAAAACTAGGTCCCGAGGACTCCCTGATTAATCTCCGATCTTTTGATAACTCTTTAGACCCGGATTCGCCGCCCGACTAGCGCCTCGGAGTTGTTGTAGAAACAACTCGGAATTAGATAGATTTAGAACTTACAGGTTCAGTTTTGCCAATTCAAAAACGAACACAAACTTCCCTATTTTTTCTTGTACGGAGATTTCAAGGATCTTTGACGGAGAAGATGAAGAAATCGAAGGGGCTGTGACAGAGGAGTTTTTTTTGGAGGATAGGGATGACGGAGACTCTCGATCAGAGATTCTCCTACTTCAATTTCGAGACTTGTCTAGAGAGAGACCCCGACAAAAGCCTTATTTTTTTTGTTTTTTTTTGTCAACTTTCTTTTCTTTTTGTTTTAACTTTTTTTTTTGTTTTTGTTTTAACTTTTTCTTTGTTTTTTTTGGTCGATGGCAATTTAGATTAGGGGTTTATTTGTAAAGTGGTGTGTATTCCTCATGTTTTATTGGTTGTTCTATTCCACTTTGGTTATCCAGACCACCTCAAGTTTGAGTAATTGAATGGTCTTTTGTTAAAAACAAAAAACAAACACTTTAATATATTAATGTAGAGGATTTGTCTGTTCCTTAGAAGCTTAGAATAGTTCGTATCGCAAACCTATTCACTAATCAAGCATAGGGGAATAAAAATCAAGTAAGAAAGAAGGAATACAAGACACTTTTGTTAACCCGGTGTTCACTTCTATTCCTTAATGTTAAGAAGGAGCTATACTCACCGGAGAGAGAAATCGGCCTCTCAACCTTCCACTAAATAAACACAAGAGTACAATTTGCTGAGGTTACAATTCATGTCTACCTCCCTTGATCTCTGTAACAAATCACTTAGAGACAAATGTATATAGAAAAGAGCCTAGCTAGAATACCGAGATGATTAGTTGAATAACACTAGATTTAAAATCAATTTAAAATACATAGAATTTTAAAATCCTTGAAAGTTGAATAACACTAGATTTAAAAAACTGAATTTAAATAATTGATTGAATAGCAGTATATTTAAAATAGAATTTAGAATCATCATTTGAATAATAGTGGATTATGTTTAGACTTAAAATCTAATAAAATACATCATTGAATAATACCACCTACGTTTTTATTTTATTTTTCTAATTTGTGGAGATAGCCCTGATGTCTTCTGAGTTGGTTATGGTTCTCTATATAGCGTCAATGCCTAGAACTTCACCAGTGCCCAATATCTAGCACGGAAGACAACTAGATTCTTTAAAAATGTTTTGGGTGTTTTCTTTTTGCTTCCATTTGTGTATCACGAATCTATGTTGCTTACATGGAGCTGGTTTAGTATTTTCAGAACTTTAGCTTTGACGGCCTACAGTATTGAACATGTAAACGTTTTATACTGTTCAAGTGTTTTCTTTTTGCACCTGTTTGTGTATCAAGAATCCAGACTTGCTTACAAGGAGCTGGTATGATATTTCCAGAGCTTTGGCTTTGAAAGTAAAGGAGTGGTTACTTATGCTTTATCAGTAGCATGGGGCTAATATAAAGCCTAGTACTACTCTATTTTCAAGCTGTGTAATCAAATTCTTGCTGCTGCTAACTGTCTTCTTCTTCGGTTTTTATTAGCTATAAAACCTTTGATGTCATGTGTTCTCTCTTTGATTAGCTATACAGTTAATACTACTTTGTTTTCAAGCAATGTAATCAAATTCTTCCTGCTGCTAACTCTCTTTCTTCTTCGGTTTCTATTAGCTATGAAACCTTTGATGTCATGTGTTCTCTCTTTGATACATTTGTTCAATCGCGACTATAATTAAGTTCAATTTTGTTTTTGAAAACTTGATTGGGTTAATAGCAGTAGAGTAAAGCGTAGACGTTAGAAAATATGAACTATCTGTAATGTTCCTAGAGCCATGGTAAAAATATATATGAAATGATTGATATGCTGTACGAATACATGTTGTTAAATGAGTTGATATCAAACGGCTATAGTTTCATTGACACTATGACGAAGATGGCAGTATATATAGCTCAACGAAAATAATATTTTAAAAATAATTTCACCTCACCATTATAAGGAGGTCAAAGATCTGCAAGCAACACTTCCACGAACTTGAGTTCACAAGTTGTAATTGCATATCTCGATACTTGACTCTAGAAAAAATTGATATCCGTATTGAGACCCACGTTTTTGAATTAAACTAGAACTTTTATCAGGTTCGTAACATTGTTATTTGAACAAAACCAAAATAACAAAACTCAAATTAAACTCAGATTTATAAATAACCGAACAGTTACTATATTTCTTGAACCAAAATAAAAATCCACAACCAAACCAGACCCAATTGAAAACCAAAAAATAAAATCCGGACGCGAACCAAAGTTTATAGAATATCATCAAATCATAAATTTTTTATTTACAAACATAAATTATTAATATAAATAATTCCACACAACTTCACAATTCAGACTATAGTAATATTATTAAAAAATCATAATATTTTCGTGTCAGTGACATAATATAAAAAAAAAATAAGAATTATGTCTTAAGTGCTTCCGGTTCACGGCATTCTTTTTTCTCAATCGATAGAAGCTTAATTGCAATACATTATCAAAATTGAAATTACCTAGACAAACTATATATTTGATATTGTGCTCTGGTTTATTGATTAAGAGAACTTGCAAGGATCTCATGGATTTATAAACTATAATCGAATCTATTAAAAGAAAAATATTCATAAATGAAACTTTACTAGAAGCAAAAAAAACATTTCATACATAAGATACTGCTTTACTGATATATATACCAGTAACAGATTATTTGTAGTTAGTCTCATGTAATAATAGCTAACTTCATGCAACACACAAGACATGCTCGTTCCCTCTATGTCACCGATTATTCCCTCACAATCTTGATTTTTCTTAGAAACCAAATAATCTCCTACAATGACCGTCTTAAAGAGAGGCTCAAATCAGTTACTGAAATTGTATCCGTCGAACATAAACTCGTTTGGATCATACGGCAAACTTGGATAAATCAACTCAAGATCCGTTAAATCGATGCCATTATAAGCTTGCTCAGGTTCATTCTTTCTCATCATGAAATTCTCATGATTGAAAGGCTGATATTTTCGTTGTTGCTGCTGCTCCTGGAGATGGTGATCATGGTTCAAGAAGGGAAACCCATGCATATTATTGGTCACGAACTGGTTGTTGTTCATTGCTAAGTAACCATTTTGATATTGATTGTCCAGGATCGCGTAAACAGGTGGGCCATTCATAAGGGATGATGGTGCAAAGAAACCATTGTTCATACCTAAGAAAGGTGAGGGTTTACAGAAACTAGACCAACCAGTCTCTGGGTACTGTTGAGGAATTGGGTTCTCTCAATAGTTTGACGATATTTCTGCACGACAACACAGTTGATGTACAATTTCTGTTATTCATATATGCAGAATCCTAATTTGATTGTCACAATAAACAATATATAATAGTTTTTGTTTTAACCTGAAGATGACTGGAAACATTGTTTCTAGTGAGTCCTTCAATTTTCATATCTTGCAAGCATCTGAGAAGTCCCTTTGGGTTAGCTTCTGTATTTGCATTCAAAAAAAAGGATTAGTAAATAAAAGAGAAATAATAAATAAATTGAATGATAAGAGATTTTAAAATAATTAGATTACTTTTAGGCCCACCAAGTATAACGATGGCATCGAGAAATTTATGTTGAAGATCTCTAGTCCACGACATTCGCGGTTTCTTGAAAGATTTATTTTTTTTCTTATTGATTCTTTGTTCAAAGTTGTCTTCGGTTACGGCCCTTGAATTATCGTCACTTTGTTCCGAACCGTTACTCTTAACCGTCATTCTTCGTTTCTATGTTGTTTTCTCTTCTATCTTATCGATGTTCTGCTTACTACGATCTTGGTCTACGGTCACTGAATCATCTTTGTCTTACTTTGAACAGTCATCATGTGCCACAACTGGTGGAACTAAACCAGGTTTCGACATCACCCTCTTACGTATAATGTGATGCCATATGAAGGCAATGATCTCTTTCCTAACCGGTTTCATAACATAGTGGCATGCACCATGTTGAATTGCGTCCACCACCGATTTGGTTTGATGGTCATTAGACATAACTAAACAAAGTTGAAATAAAGTATTATATTTTATCGAATTAAGAGAAATTTAGTTTATAATAGGTTGAAAAGTAAAAATTAATGCACGATTTACATACTCACTACAGGAAGATCTATCTTTGAACCAATAATTTCTAGAGCTTGCAGTCCATTAATTCCAGGCATATGATAATCCCATATCACAATATTAATATCATGTTTACAGTTTATCAGAAAAGAGATAGCTTCTTCTGCGTCCGTATAAGTTGTCACTGGATAACGAAAAAAGAAGTATAAACCCTAAACCCTAACTTTAGCAATTCTTTATTAAATCAAACAAATTATACATATATACAAGAAGAGAGTTACCTTGATAAGTGTACTGTTTCATGATTTCTTTCATATTACGTAAAGTGATGAGATCCGGGTCGACAACAAGAACATTAGTACTCTGCAGAAATTCATCGAGAGGAGAGTTGACTTCCGAAGTTTCCTGCTCCAGAAAGAGAGTCTTATCTCTATCATCGGTTGTATGTTCTTGCGACATTATAAAACTTACTTTTGTATAGTTTTGGATGAAAGCGAGAGATAATATGTATGCTATGAGATATATGCATCTTATTACAGGGACGAATGACACTTTTTATATTACAAAATTGGATTTTATTATCATGAAATTTTGACATGTGTCAAAATTAAATTTATACGTGTACATAGTATATTATAAAAAAAATCGAATGTAAGATTTATGGTAGAATACAATAAAAGAAAGATTGAAATTAGCTGTCCTGCCAACTTTTTCATTTAACAATTTTATCAAAAGATCCTAAAAAAAAAGAAACAAACTATTTGACTTTCTCTTTTTCTACATGACTTTCCGACTGTGTTTTTTCTTAATAAACAATACTATTTAGAAATGTAAGAAATTATTTTTTCACTATGAATTAACTTATGAGGATGATTTATTTCAATTTTTTATTAAGAAGTTTTGTATTAGCTTAATAGATTTTCATTCCAGATTGGACTTCCAACTATGACGAAATTTTACCCCCACCTAAAATTCCAAACCAAAATATGAACCGTTATTGAACAAAAAAGTTTACAAGTACCTATATGGGGCTGAGACATGAAAACCCCAGTCTTGATGGTAACTATGCCAAGGGTACGGGCTACTTGAAAGAAACATTTTTGTATGAATATGTACATAAGTATTTGGATAATCGGGTTTAATTCGCCATCTTGGTAAATAATGAGTATTGGTTAGTTTACCTTAACATATATATATATTTATATGAAACAGATTATTGTTGGGGTCAAAATCGGTTGCGACGAAGTTTACATCCAAGTATCGAACAAAAGCCCAAAATCGGTCGTTACATAACGACCGAACACGTACACGCTCAGTCGCTACGTAGCGACCGAGCTCGAGCCAAATCTCGGACGCTACGTAACGACCGGCTCAAGCCAAAGATCGGTCGCTACGTAGCGACCGAGCTCAAGCCAAAGCTTGGTTGCTACGTAGCGACCGAGCTCAAGCCAAAGCTCGGTCGCTACCTAGAGAGCGGCTCAAGCCAAACTTGGTCGCACGTACACGTTCAATTGCTACGTAGCGACCTAGCTCAAGACAAAACTCGGTCGCTACGTAGCGAACGAGCACGTACACGCTCGATCGCTACGTAGAGATCGCTACGCTCTCGTCTACTCTTTAATGCAATCTCCCGAAGGCCACAGTTGAACTACCACTCCTTCCTTTTTGATCGGAGTTATCGTTCACAATTTACAATAAAAACCATGGAAAGCATGTTTTTATCAAAAAGAAACCGTAAAAACGTCTCGAGTTGAAATACAGCCCAAAGAGGCCTAGAACGCGTCGAGAAGTCAACTTACGGTTATTATTAAAAAAGACCATAGATCCTATGACGATTTATCCTTGGTTCGCAAGAGAAGATAAATGTGAAGTTTCCGCGGATAAATGAAAAGTTCCGAAGATAATCGTGAAGATCGGGAAAAATGAAAATCTCCATTTTCGGGCTATGATGGCTTAAGGGCAGAAGTGCAAAGCGTAAATCGACTTTGGAGGGAATATATAAGGAGTTCAAGGTGAGAGAGACAAGACAGAGAAAACTTAGCACTAAGAGCATTTAGGCAATTTTCCGTTTTTGTTATTCGAGTTGCGTCTCAATTAGGGTTTCCGCAGTCTAAGGTTGCTAGAACTAGGATCTATCTGGTCAGCTCTTGTTGCCAAGGCTCCTAACTCGTTATAACGCTCATATGCAGAATCGAAATAAGAATTCTTTTCGCTCTCTTTTTAATTCATATTTATATTATCGTCTTTTTACTTCTTGTTCTTGATTGCTTAGCGTGTGGTTCAACAGATAACTGGGACCTCTGGGAAACTAGGGTTTACCTTACGTTTCTATTCAACGGAAATCGACAGTGCGAATTTTGGTTCCCACAGTTTGGTACTAGAAGGAGGGGGGGGGGGTTACGGATTTATCTAACTCGCAAGCCACAACACACTCGGTCAGAAACATGAGTGACTCGACAAGTTCGGACGGAAGACAACTAGATTCTTTAAAAATGTTTTGGGTGTTTTCCTTTTGCATCCATTTGTGTATCACGAATCTATGTTGCTTACATGGAGCTCGTTTAGTACTTTCAGAACTTTAGCTTTGACGGCCTACAGTATTGAACATGTAAACGTTTTATACTGTTCAAGTGTTTTCTTTTTGCACCTGTTTGTGTATCAAGAATCCAGACTTGCTTACATGGAGCTGGTATGATATTTCCAGAGCTTTGGCTTTGAAAGTAAAGGGGTGGTTACTTATGCTTTATCTGTAGCATGGGGCTAAAATAAAGCCTAGTAGTACTCTATTTTCAAGCTGTGTAATCAAATTCTTGCTGCTGCTAACTGTCTACTTCCTCGGTTTTTATTAGCTATAAAACCTTTGATGTCATGTGTTCTCTCTTGGATTAGCTATACAGTTAATACTACTCTGTTTTCAAGCTGTGTAATCAAATTCTTCTTGCTGCTAACTCTCTTTCTTCTTCGGTTTCTATTAGCTATGAAACCTTTGATGTCATGTGTTCTCTCTTTGATACATTTGTTCAATCGCGACTACAAGTTCAATTTTGTTTTTGATAACGTGATTGGGTTAATAGCAGTAGAGTAAAGCGTAGACGTTAGAATATATGAACTATCTGAATGTTCCTAGAGCCATGGTAAAAATATATATGAAATGATTGATATGCTGTACGAATATATGTTGTTAAATGAGTTGATATCAAACGGCTATAGCTTCATTAACACTATGACGAAGATGGCAGAATATATAGCTCAACGAAAATAATATTTTAAAAATAATTTCACCTCACCATTATAAGGAGGTNTTAAATGAGTTGATATCAAACGGCTATAGCTTCATTAACACTATGACGAAGATGGCAGAATATATAGCTCAACGAAAATAATATTTTAAAAATAATTTCACCTCACCATTATAAGGAGGTCAAAGATCTGCAAGCAACACTTCCATGAACTTGAGTTCACAAGTTGTAATTGCATATCTCGATACTTGACTCTAGAAAAATTTGATATCCGTATTGAGACCCACGTTTTCGAATTAAGGTAGAACTTTTATCAGGTTCGTAACAATGTTATTTGAACAAAACTAAAATAACAAAACTCAAACTAAACTCAGATTTATAAATAACCGAACTGTTACTATATACCTTGAACCGAAATCAAAATCCACAACCAAACCAGACCCAATTGAAAACCAAAAAATAAAATCCGGACGCGAACCAAAGTTTATAGAATATCATCAAATCATAAATTTTTATTCATAAACATAAATTATTAATATAAATAATTCCACACAATCTCACGGATCAGACTCTAGTAATATTATTAAAAAAATCATAATATTTCCGTGTCAATGACATAATATAAAAAATAAAATAAGAATTATGTCTTAAGTGCTTCCGGTTCACGGCATTCTTTTTTCTCAATCGATAGAAGCTTAATTGCAATACATTATCAAAATTGAAATTACCTAGACAAACTATATATTTGATATTGTGCTCTGGTTTATTGATTAAGAGAACTTGCAAGGATCTCA